GAGCGCTGTCCCAGCAAGGTCGTTCTGTGGGAATCCCGCCCCCCAAATAAGACAGCTGTCGAAAGAGGGCAGGTGCCTCGTTGACTCGGCTATAGTGAATCTATGGTAAGCAGAAGTCAAGATGGCGGAAAAATATACAGCAAAGACGATCCTTATTCTTTCTCAAGCAGTGCCCGTTTTTGACCTCAGCCAAACTCCAGAAAAGGCATAAGACTCTGACATTCACATCGCAGTATGATGTGTTTCGCTGGTCGCTTCAAACATGCTCAGATCTTTGGGCAATCTTCGACAGATCCTGGACACCTTCGCCTTCAGCGACGAGGCCGCCAGTTCCAATCTAAGTAAGGGAAATCAGCAGTTCTTCGGGGGGTCTATCGGGCCTTGGCCGGTGACGGTGAGTTTCTGTGTTCGAAAATCCTGGCGAGGAAGATGAAGAGGCAGCTGGACTGTATTATATACACTAAGCCTAAGCCCATCTATATATAAATTATATATAAGCCCATAGCCTAGTGTGAGAGTGTGTTCACCATGCATACAAACTGGTGGTTTGTCTATCCTGTGTTTTCTAGAAAACAGTGTTGCCGTTCGACTACCCCTTCTGCTGTGCAGTTCATGTCACCGGAACCATACCGATGGGAGACTGTCTCCTCTCAGGTTGGTTTGGGCCCACAGTGTGATCAGACGCTGTCCTATAAGCGTCCTCCGTCTCAAAAGCAAGGTCCCAAAACGTTGCGACCCACAGTGAAGCCTTGGAGCTGGGACTTTGTGGATGACTTTGCTTGACGCCACGCATGCTGATGTGACTGGGCCCCCGACTCCTTTTCTGGCCAAGCATCCATGCCCTCAGTTGTTCATGCCTCCGCAGCTCTTTGGCAAGTACCTAAAGAAAGAGCATGATTCAATATTATGTACATAGGTTCCTTATGTTTGGAGCTGTGCAGCTCCTTCTTTGGCATTCTTGTCCTTTGCTGGATCCTCCAGCCAGGTGCAGCAGTATGCCCGGAAGGCGGCTTTGGCGGTGGCAGAGATCCAGGCTGGTAGACGTGGGCCGTGCAGCGGACTTTCTACTCAGGTCCTGCTTAGGCAGTGCTGGTAGGGATCTTTCATCCACCTGGTGACTATGTGGCTGACTTCTCGGCTTCGTTTGAGTGGCCCACTTGCACAGCGTCTTCGTGGTGATGTTTTCTTGCCTTTGGGAACATCAGGGGCACACTCGGGTCCATATTACTTGCCTTAAACAATTACATTAATTGATCATAGACGATGCTTGACACTGGCACCAAGCACGAAAGACCAGTCTTAGATTACAATGAACAAATCAATTCTTTGGGTATGTTTGTTCTTACCTGTAACAGTCAGTAAACAAGCAAATCACTATTTTTGAACATGGCCTTCACCAACCATTATCATCCACTGTTACAGGTAATAGGACAGACCCAATCAATTTTGGCTCCTGCAGCTTGCGCAGGGTGAAGTCACTTGCCGGATGTTGCCACAGTTGGGGCGCAGATGGAGACATGTAATGGATTTGCTATGACTGCTGTGACAAGACTCTTCACCTGAGCTTCAAACCTGTAGCGGTTACTGTATGACAGGAAAGGCTACAAGATGACCCCGACGCTGCTGAATGTCCCGCCCGCGGCCGTGCACGACCAGGGCATCAACATCTCGCACCCCTTAATGAAAGCGCTTGCGCAGAAGCACCTTGGCGGGCAAGGCAGGGCATTCAATGAACCGTCGCTGTTTTCCACTTGGAGGATTATGTTTCCTGGAGGTACAGCTGTAAGATGATCGTTAGTAGAGGAACAGTTGCACTCCGTACTTTTTTCAAGAGTTGCACTCTGGACACCAGCCCTTGAACAAGTATTTGACGACTATAGGCTATAGGTACTTATATATATATATATAGGCCTTTTGTCGCTGCGGCTTACGAACCATCCTTTGTAGGCGGTGACCCCGCGAGTCAACCCACAAACTCGGCGACTTCCAAGATATTGTAGCCACTGTATCCAAAACATTGACATAGGTAAAGCGATGTGGCATGAAATGCACTGTCCATAGGCAAACCGGAGTCCATTGCAAAGAAGTTTTAATATATAGCAATTATATATGTACATACTGTATCTATATATACAATATTATACATGCATGCGAGGATTATTTTAACTATGCAATTGCTTGTGTCCTCGAGTCAGTCCATTGTCTTGCCAACTATACAATTTAGATCTATCGGTCAATCGGCCGAAAACTGCCATGCAAAGCCAATCAGTTGCACCAGGTGATTCGCTCTTTTATCCTTTTGGGATCCATTTGCATCCTCAGAGCGCTATTTGCGTGACCCTCCCACAAATTGATTCGCTGGGCGAGCCGAAAAATGCCATTGAGGTACACCACACGACATGGATCGTTAGAGGCCGGTCAGGGTGGTCAGGGTATAGGGTCCGGCATGTTTGCCAGATGCTTAAGGTGTGGGGTGTGAGTCAAGAAGGGGGTGCGGAAAACCCAAATAAACAATGAACATTCCGGTTGCGGCTCTATCCAATGGTGAGGTGTGAGCAATTGAGACGTTGATTTTTGGATCATGATCAACCTCCTCCCCACCACTTTCCTCGTTGGTCCTCAACTCAACCTACCCTTAACCAGCGCCCACGTAGCTTGCACCATGTTGTGGCATTGGAAGCTGCCTAGCTGTGCAACACATGGCTTTGTCCTATAGCTGCGAAAGCCAGGTTGAGACCTGCAGTAATTACATGTCGTACCAACCAGTGACTTAGGATTTGTCGGACGTTGGCCAAAAATTGATGTGCTATCTTACGTATGAAGAAAAGTACTTTGAACAGTTTTTGGTCCACAAAAGTCCTAGGCTACGCAGCTTAGCAAGGCAAAACGGAATGCTCTTCAGGTCTTTTAATTGACAAACATGGCGTGCCCAGGGCATGTGTGGCCGGATGCCAACACATGAGATAGGACTTGTGGTCCTAATGGAAATCCATTCGTTCATGAGTTGGGAAGATGTGTGTGATTTATGGCAGGGGTTCTTCATGGTTCTTCCTAACTCATTGTTTTTGCAGACATGTGCACTTGTTTTTTGAAATGGCGATTCTTTGTGGCAGATTTTGTTTCTTTTGGTTTGCCGTTTTGTGAAATGGTGTCTTTGAAGATGTGCATGCAGCATGAGTTGGGACTTGGTGGTATCCTGAGGTATGTTATATAGTCCTGTGTCATCATGGAACATCTGGCTGTTCTGAAATGGCGGGGTTCCATTTGGCCTCATGAGTTCTTCCTGGACAACTCCTAACCCTTGGATACACAAAGACCTAACTCACCCGACCCCAGTACTATAATTGATAAGGAGGATCATGCAGAGCCTGCAATGCTTTGCATTCAGCATGTCGCTGCGCTACGACGCGGGCGTCGGCAATCAGTGTGCCTCCTGGTGCCCCCCCCCAAATAGGATCGGCCGCAGGGAAAATCGACCAATCCCCACTGCTTTGTCCTCCATGTGCACCCACCAATCAAGCGATGCTTGACACAGCTTTACCTAGTGCCACCTTCAACGCAGGAGGCGACGGGATCCAGGCGACGGGATGGACGGAACTGGTTGGCCTTTTGGGGATGAAAGGTGGGATTGACTGCGTTTGGAACCGGCAGAAAATGGCAGCGTCCACCTGGCCGTACTTTGCTAGGAGCAAGGACGCTACTAGGGGCTCCTGGCATCGCTACTAGTAGCAAGAAGCTACTAGTAACACGAAGCTACTAGGGGCTCCTGGCCTTGCTACTAGGAGCAAGGACGCTTCCCCCCAGCGTCCACCGGATCCTGTGGCCATTTGTTTTTTTGTGTCGATCACATCGAGGAGTATTGACAGGGGTCCTGTCGGTCGAGCCATTTTGTTCGGGAGCTTTATGAAGGTAAGATTGAAGCGAGAGGTCAAATTTGGGGACTAATCCCAGCTGCTTGCCATACAGTATTTGATGATTTTGATAGATGTTTTGTTGGACATTGTTCCAGTATATAATTCTTGTTGAAGCCAAGGTCAGTCCCATTGTGGAAGAGGAAGCCGGCAGCTGGACGCTCAGACGTGAAACTCCATAGTGGTCCGCCGGCCCCACTAGTGCTCCCAACTTCTGGGCCCCCCGTAGTGATAGTGATGATAGTGTCGTCTTTTTGGAAGTGGCCAGCCCCGTAGAACCAGACACTGTAGCTCCATCACGAACCAATTCGTCGAACCGAGAACGAACGAAGGGCCCCACAAAGAAACCTAAGGACCGATAAAGTAAAACAAAACATGCAGTTCTCAAGCAAACCAAATGAAGTGCTCCGCCAAGTTCCGATAGTGATGATAGTGTGAGATGGTGGTGGCACCTAAGGCATCTCTATATATATATATATATTTATTCTCTCTCTCTCTATATATATATGGAAGTTCGTTTTAGCCCAGCAGGTCATCGAAGACCATCAGCTAGTTGAGGTCGCAGAAAGGGCGCTAGTTGTTTTCTGGTTGCAATGGCACCACGGCACTACGGTTGAACGAAGAGGCCACGTTTGCACGTTCTTTGTGAAATACTAGTTTGTGTTTGTTGTGGTTTGTGGATACATGCATCGGTGAGGTGTGACACCACTGACAAGAAGTTGCGCTGTGGCTCAAGTTGACAGGACGAGAAGTGGCTCAGAATGGCTCAGAATGACGAAATCAATCTAAATCACAAATCCAAACGAATCCCAATGACCGGCAGGTATTACATAGACGCATGCTTTAGTGGGGTGAAGGTCCCGGCATTATAATAGGCTGCACCACATCGGGGCGAAAACATGCCGCCGACGGCAGGCAACGCAAGACAGGCAAAGATAGGCAAAGCCAACTGTAGATCACCACCCTACCCCGACCGGGCAAAAGGCGATCCTGCGCTAGTGTTATACCATATAAGCTTGAAATTTGACATAATTGCACGAAAGTTTGCATGACTATATATATATATATATATGCACCTCTTTGACTTGGCAACTCCTTGGCTTTCCCGGTTGCCCGTGCTGAGCGCAAGCTGTCCCATTCTTGGCGAGTGGAACGTTCCCCGCCATGGACTACGCAGCTATGGTTGACACACTGCTGGTGGAGATGCGGCGCCAATTGTTGGAGGCAGCCCTCGGTTGTGGTGCATACTGTAGGTTCAGAATGGGTAGAGTAGACGGATGAAGCCCCACGCAGATCGCTCAACAGTGCATCCCAAGTTCACCTATGAGTCGTGCTGGCGGCTGGCTTGGATGATGGTCCGACGGTCGAAGCAATGGCTTTTGGGGGGTCCAGGTATGTCCATGTGGGTGTTTGTGTCCATCGTGCCGGTGTGGAGAAGTTCAAACTAATCAACCCTCGTGCTTTATACCCAAACACTGAAGATACACATCATCAGCCCAAGAATCTTCAGAGGGATGCATGTTCACAGCGTGGTTTCCAAGAGTGGCATGAAAAAGCGTGGGTCCCTTCCGGAGCTTGGACCGGTCCATGGAGGCGGAACGCCGAACGCCTTTGCAACGTTTACATGTTTATCCAGGAGAGGCCAGGGCCTAGCCGATAATGTTTTATCAGTTTTTTACTTACCAGGCACATCCAGGCATTATCCATTGTTTGTTGTGATGAGATATACCCAACACGAACGAGCTGAGGGTAGCCTTTTGTTCTCCCAAATGGCTGGTTGGTTCGCGAGCGAAGGGCAGGGTATGGTGGCCATATTGCGAAGAGGCGGCTCCAGCTAACGTAAAGATCATACCAAGTAAGTAAGTAGGCCTCTCGAGGCATTTGGCACATGGCATGAACATTCAGTCAATGGTCAACCTATCATGGGAAAATCAGACTCAACCTCACGCCTCCTGGAAAATCAGCCGTTTTGGATTCAAGGAAGTCCACCAAAATGCTTTCTCACCTAAACCTGACACTCACCACACGGACTACATGGACCAGTGTATGTGGTCTCAAGTCGGCCACAAAAAGATCCAAACAATATGAGCTCGGAGAAGAAGAACATGACCCTGTGTTCAGGATCTATATGATAGATTATCCATATGTGTTTTTCACGAGCTACGATGACCCTTGAACGACGACGGCCCGACCGACCAGACCCTTTTCAGACCCTTTTCACCTCACGCCAGCTGAGCAGATACGCAGGCCCACGAGATTTGTCATGCTCGGAACGATGACAGCAAGAGCGTTTCAGCCAGCAGCCTGGCAGCATCGCAATTACAAGCTCACATTCGGATACGATGCAGATTTGCTCTCTGGATGCGTGCCAAGGGATTGTTTGACATTGTTTGACAAGCCCATTGTGACTGTTTGTTCAAAGCCCTGTCACTGCACCAGGACCTTCAGTTTGTGACCGAACTTGAGATCCCAGAATGAGGTCACTTAGTCCCTGAAGAGGTCACTTACAGACTATCTGAATGCATTCACACGGCTCCAATTTCCAAAGGTCCTGTCGACTGGTCGTCGCGCAGCGCGACTTGAGCTGAGACCAGGTAGCAGCCTGAGACGAACCATGTCCAGAAAGGCATCGAGTTTGCCTTCTGAAGTTGCAGCACCGTGGATGCTTGGCATTGATACCCCAGTTCCGCTTTCTTCGACTGCGATCCACCTTTAGGCTGATGCAGTCGAAGTGATCGTCGAAGTGACCCACAACGATCCACATGTTTCCAAGTGTATGGATGAATATAAGGTAGATAGACAGCCAGATATATGGATAGATACATGACACGCTCACCCAGCTTGACCATTCGAGAGTCGGAGATCCGGGTCCGCTCCAACTCTCGGGACGAGCCCACTCAACCGAGGAACGAGTCAGGAGGACTTGCATTGAAGTCTCCCAGGGAAGGCTGCGGAGACTGGTGACAAAGTGATTTTGTCCAGCGCAGCTCTCACAAAAGATCCTGCCTGACCATGTCGTTAATGAGTTGGGACTAGCCCTCACATGCCCTCACCACTGACAAACCGACCCAAAATGCCATGTTTTTTTCAGTCGAACCCGGACGTTTCACAGGTGAACGTGAAGCTGGTGACCCGTACCACACTCCATCGATCGAGTCAGTGAACTCAGGCTGGTTCCCCCGTTCACCGGGGACTGGGGACCGAACCGCTGGGGATTTGAACGTCGTTGCCGAGAGGTCAGCTGGACCAAAACCAAAGGGTGACTGGGACGCAGTGAGTATTGGGTTTTCAAAGGGACTGCCCGCTGGAGCATAGTTTATTCAAGGGTTTGTATACACTTCCGCTTGTCTTCTCCACTTCATGTGCCTGTCTCAGCCTCTTTTTTTCACAAGCTCACCCCTGTCATGTGAGTCCTCCTACCCCATGAGCAATTGTTCATCCACATGCTACAAGAAATCCATCATCCACATAAGCAATTGTTCAACCATCATATCAGCAATGGATCAATGGATGATCACAAAAACAAACTCACCATCATCAACAAACAAACCCTACAACAAACTCATTTTGAACCCTCTGAGCTCCACCAATCCCAAAGCCACGCAATGACCTGCGCTTTGGCAGCCGCTTCTGTCAAACAAGCACGCTTGCTGCTGGAAGAAGCGGAAGCAACAAGTTCAACAGATACATTTTGTGTGTTTTCCACGAAACTTGCAAAGGACTGTATACTCTGCATCTGGAATGCAAACTAGTCGCAGGGTTCAAGTACCACAGAAACAACTACGGAGCCATCGGGATGAGGACTTCAGCAACGCACTCAACCGTGGCATTGCCAGACATCACAAAAGGAACCGACGCCAAAAGCTTCTAGTAGCGTCCATGCTCCTAGTAGCGATGCCAGGAGCTCCTAGTAACGAACATTGCTCCTAGTAGTAAGGCCAGGAGCCCCTAATAGCTTCTTTGCTCCTGATATCACTGGCACTGTTGTTGCCACAACAATAACTTAAAGCTGCTGGGGCATCTAGACTCTACTCATCAGCCATCAGCTCTTCCATCATGCGGTAGTTTCACCACACCAGTCCTCACTTCGTTTGGTGGTGTGAGCTGTGACAAACCTCATGAAGCTGGAACACGTGGGTTCTATCATGACCAGGCCGCCAGCTTTGGTCTCCACCACCATCTCACAGACTCTCAGTAAACCAGCTGCAGTGTGAATGTTGTGATTACTGTCTCTGCGGACATCAAAAACACAACTCACACCAAAAGCCTTCGCAATGGAGCCACATCCTCCAAAGACCTCGATGGCCTCATACACGTGGATCCCCACACCAGACCAAAGCCTCCGGCCTTAGCCATTTGTTCGACTTGAATGAATGAACAAAGGCAAATCAATGCTCAATTTACTGTCCTTTAGATCCTTTAGCCCCAAGAAACAACACAAAGTGGTCAGGCCATAGGGCGGGCTACTGCACCGGTTAAAATATTACATCACATCTAACAGAATCTAACATCTATCATTGCAATCAAGTACCTCAGAACAGTTCAAAATCCTGTGGACTTAAACACTCTCACTTGACTTCACCTGAATGAGTCCCAAATTGGTCCAACACGGTGTTCTTCCAATATTTTGGATCATAACTTCGTACTGGTTCCTCAAAGCGCACATTGATCATCCAGGAGCGAGTCATATTTTGCAATCGAATCCTCTCCCTGAAGCTCACTGGGCCTTTAACCGGCCAGGAGCCTCCAACTCTCCTTCCCTTGTCAAAAATGGCTGCATGGGCAGCGGCAATCTCATAACTGCACCTCAACCTTCATTTACCTTGCTTTGAAAACAATGGTTACCCGAAAAACACTACATCCACACTTCCCTGAGATGGACACGTCATATGAGATAGACCGCAAATGAGCAAGAAACCGTAGCCAAACATTTGATTTATCATAGTTATTCATATTGTATTTTTCCATGTTTATCCTATACAGCATCAATATGAATTATACAATAATGAATAGCTTTTGAGTTAAATAATGCGGGTTTGTAGGGACTTGTAGGGCTTGGGCGTTCGCAAGGCTGTTTGAGGCGCAATACTGGTAGCTTTGACCCAATGGCTGGTATGGTAGTATGGCGTAGTGGGCCAGAACCGGAAAGTTTTGCTGTGGCGCATCGAGACATGGTGCAAAGTGGGTCGGGACACGCTGTCGCAACACGTCGTATGATAGGGAGCAGCGCAGCCCATGTTCCATGATGTGTAAATATGTGTAAGAAGTGCATTGATATTTGGTTGCTTGACTGCATTGCCATCCTGGATGAGTCAACTGCTGGATGTGTAAATACGTGTAAGAAGTTACGAATTGCTATTTGACTGCATTGCCATCGAGACAACTGCTATTGTTTTAAGGAGGGCAAATTTGGTTTGACGTGTTTGTTGGATGGCTGCAATCTTTGATGTTCACAACTGCGCCACCTCAAACGCATCAAAGTGCTACAGCAATCCCAAACACCCTTTCCTTGTTGCACCCCTTCGCATACCGTGCCATGGATGCATGGATCCCTCGCAGGGGAAGTGCATGGGGACGTCAACGCCTTGCTGCGCAGCGGCCTCGCGGACATGAGCGAAGCCGAGACCGCCAAAGTGATGCTCGGACGAGTCGGGCACGACCGTCGGGCACGACCGGGCATGGCGGATCCGGCGATGTCGTTGATCGGAGCGTCATTGGTGCTGTGATTAGGCCAGGGGGTCACCGGAACTCTGCAAGAGGCCCACTGTGTTTGTAGGTAATGACCAAGTGGATTGTCCCAGGTGGGCGTGAATGATGCCGGTGCCAGTCATGTAGACTCAAAAGCATGGAACATCAAATGAGCATCATCTAGATTCACGAACGGGGCACACTTAGAATTCATGAAGAGGATCATTCTTGATTATTTCGATAGGACTCATCACGGTGCCTATCTTGGAAAGTGGACGAGTCGTTTGTTCATGACGTTCTTCCTGATCTTCCTGTTTCTTTGGGGCATCAGCAAGCGTCGTCCGAGGAAGCGGCGCTTGCGACTGCGTTTAGGACTGAAACGCACGCGATGTCTTGCGGGTCCTGGAGGTGGAGGTGGTGGCAAATTCCGATCGTTCGTGACTTTTCTGAGCGTTTTTGGACTTTGCCTTTTTTGGGTGAGAAAGGGAATCGCTACTAGTAGCAAAGGGCATCGCTATTATGTTACTGTATACAACAAGAAGCTACTAGGGGCTCCTGGCCTTACTACTAGTAACAAGGTTCGCTACGTCAGTAACTGAAGGACTGCAGGATTCACATGCTTCGACTCATAGGAGCCTTGTCTACCTCGAAGTTGGTGTCCGGCAAGGGCGGCTTGGTGAGAAAAGCAAGCGCAAAGGTTTGGGAAGCGATGAAGCGCTCGGGTTTGGGAAGTATAGGCATATTACACATAGAGAGAGAGAGAGAAAGAGAGAACATCCGTCGAGTAAGATCGGCCTTGATAGCTAAAAAATCAAAACCATCCCCTGTAACACATCATTTAATCATAAGGGGAGGGGTATCTATTGTTTTTCGCTGTTTGTTTGATTGTTTCTTGTTTTGTTTTGCTGCGCTTGTTTTGCTTTTCCTTGCTTCTCACTGCTTATTTGCTTTTCCTGCTTTTCTGTGCGTGTGTTTCTTTTCCTTGCTTTTCACTGCTTCTTTGTGAATCCTCGTTCTTTAACCTCTTGCTGCTTTTTTGTGCCCTTTTTTTTGGTTGGTTGGGTTTTCCTGCTGCTGCTTTTGGTTGTTTTTTGTTTTAATCATTGTTCTCGTGTTTTTGGAGCGTAGTGAGTCTTTCATATGCAAAGCTCTAGTGTTTCACCACGTGTTGCAGTAATAGAAGGCATATAGACTCAAGGCCAGCACTACCCCACAACAGTGGATGCTAAGGGCCCCCCGGCTTTTGCCCTCTCACATATGATGCGGATGCTAAGATCAGGACGCCGAGGTTTACTTTGTGATGCGATAGCTACACTAAGTCACTCAGATCACTAAGCGCCGTGCCTTCTACAACTTTTGTTCCAACTTACAAAGCCCCTCACCCTCCATATTTATTTGTCATTGAAATTCGCAGAGTGCTGCGCTGCCACCAGCGGAGAATTATAACTAAACAAAAACTTGACATATAGATACCTTTTTGGAATCTTTCACCAGCGGTTACGCATCAGACCACCGCAACCCCATAACGGCGGCTGCTAAGGGTCACCAGGCATTGGCCATCTCACAAAAGACTTGAATGGTTAGATCAGCGAGGTTTACAAAGCGCTGCCTAGATAAACTTAAAGAAGGAACGCGACCACTTCAACATAGTACATCTGTGAGCCACCCAAGGTTGGATGCTAAGGGCTACCAGGCTACCAGGCTTTTGCCATTTGACATAATCCGATGTTGAGATCAGCGCTCCGTGCTTTCGAAAGTGCACTCCGAGGTTCACATACCGCTGCTCACCAGGAAATCTGCATTTCGCACAAACAGATTAAGATATAAAATATCAAACATGTTCAACAAAATACAATGAATTCCGGGAAAACCAGTTCCAATATGTTGTGCCCAGTAAGGTCAATTACGCCGTTGGATCCAGCTGTCACCCTCACCGACCGGCTGGCAAAGGTTCCAGTCCAAAGTGGTACGCGTGCATAGATGTCGAATGCCTGGTCCGACTATTGTGACACTGACTATTGCAGGTTGTGAATGGATTCTGCGGCTTTGGATGAAGCACAAAGGTGACCAGAATCCCCGAGTTCACTCGCGAGAGAGTCCTTCACCGGTCCGTAAGAAGTGCATTGTTCGAAGAAAACCGAAACACAGACAACCACCGGATCCATACAATCTATACAGATTCTGTTGACAGATTTGTTTGTGAACCCCTTGTGTTTCACCTGTTGTCCACCCCTATCTCCAGTTTCTTCTTGTCCCAAACTGGACCCGCACCGGTCCAGTCACACCGGGTCGAAAGACCACGGTCGTTCGGTTTCACCGAGGCCTTCATGAAGCGGTGACCGTGTTGGGTTTGACGCGCTACAGCGTGGAGGACATGAACAGCTTCGCCCCTCGGCGCGGCTCGTGAAACGGCTCGTGAAACGCTGCCACGTGGCCAGGGGGTTGGTGTCTTCGAGACATATGGAAGAAAGGGTAGAAGGGGATTTGAGGATGGGATATCAGGGCGCGATTCTCAGTTGATTATATTTTGCGGAAGTGATTTTGGAATAGAAACGATTCAGGGATGAAACATGATCAAACATTGGCAAGCCAAACTGCCGATGTGACCACTCCCATTGCAAAAATGATCAGGGTTTCCACAGACCGTACTCCTCAATCAATGCAAAGTCCTTGGTACATGTTTTACCCAAACACTCCGCACATTTCCCTATCATGGACCCCTGATACCACCCGCCCTAAATTAAATCACCCCAATGTATACGTATTTAGATTCGAGTGACTGGGAGTGTTTGGGGTTACGTTACGCCGCTACTCGTTTGTTTTCTTTGCGAAGTGCCTTAGGCATGGTGGCCTCGCAGACCACAGTGTGTGTCAACGCACAGGTGTCAACGCGTCAGGTGAATCCATCAATGCTTCATCCGCCGCAAGTTGCGAGGTTTGTCTTTTCGATTGATTGATCCGAGGCCGAGGGTTCGGTCCGGTTTTTCTTTTGGTTGAAATACGACGACGACGGTCTCAGCATGTCTTGTCGGGATCATGTTCCCCCCTAAGAGACTGAGAATTTGGAACTCCGAAGATGAGGCTCTCAAGTGGAGAGGTGAGTGGAATAGCGATGAATGGGTTGTATGGCACCAGTACTGTCATGATTTAATTAACGTTTTTTTATTAACATGTGTTGCATATTATGGACGCCAACTATTAATATACGTTTCAAGTGCACGAGTGGTTCCTCCACACCGGTTTACTTCACCGGTTTACGTCGGGTTCGGTTGCCTCGGGTTCCGTCGCTTCGTTTCGAGGTGAATCTCTTGGCGGACTTCATCCACCTGGAGCCGCCGGGTGTAACGACGCGACGCGACCGGGTGAGTGGACCCCGAGCGCCACAGTCCGGCAGCCACAGTGTGCTGTGTGGTGCGCTGTGTCCCAACATGGCCGTGTTTCTACCGCCAGGTGAAGCACTAAGTCACTATGTGGTTCCCTCGATGAGGCCATGCGGCCGGAAACATCCGGAAACTACATTTGGGCCAGGGTTTGTGACTCAACCACCCCAGGTGGCCGTCAGGATCCTCCCGGCTAGCATGTCTCATAAATATGAATGTGGAAGAACACTGCAATTAGCGTAACAGATGACTGGTCAGGCGGTGGAGCAGAGGCAAGTTCATGTCATGGCGTTTTCTTCATAAGCTCTATAGCTCAGCAAACCTGATGACGGTGATGGAAGAACCAGCGGAATGCTGGGGACCTCCTTCCCCAAGGTTCGATGATGAGGTGAGTGAACAGGACAACGACTTCTATCAATCGAGCCATGGCGGGAACGTGTGGGGATTACTACCAGATGCAGAGGGACACACCGGACACAACAGGTGGACGAAGCTGCATGGTGTTCTATCACTGATCCGACTGGGGCTTTGAATAACCCTCCACCAGTAACCCCGACCTCAGGTTTATATACAGCCGCGCCCTTCTTACCCCACCTGGAAATTAGGAATGCCAGAAGAGCTTCCCAGCAGGACTTTGTTGAGTACCCCTAAATAGATGCATCACCACGCCATGTCATTCTTGTTTCTCCCTTGCGTGCGGTGACGGAGCCTGGTGTTGCTTGAATAACGGTTTGAAGCGATGTGTTCGGGCCTCAGTGAAATACACTTCTTGCTCAAGAGAGTGTGGACCACCTGACAAATAGAGTTTAAAGTGTGTGCCAAGTAGTGCAATAGCGTGCAATAGCACTTTTGGGCTTTGGCGTTGACAACCACAGGATGACCAGTTGAACCCTGGAAAAGCGTCATCAGAACCTGCTCAGTCAGGAAGAAAACTGGACCTTGGCAACCTTGCTAAAACCCCTTTTGCTCGGACATCCCGGATGAATATATTGTCACCAGGATTATTGCTTTTTATATAACTATATAAGATGTTTCATTCTGTCAAGCAAGCCCGATCAACTAGACAGCGGGAAGAAACCCTGCAGCCACGTTTTTCAGGGGCGAGATGCCAGATCCACGACGACAAGAAACCGTGGAGGAGAGCACGGCGGGTCATTGTGCGATTGCATTTGGGTTCAGCTCCTGTAGAATGTGGTGTTGGTGCGCCCAGCTAGTGACCACCTAAATGCTGAGATACTAATCAATGGAATTGAACTTCTTCCACCCCAAAAGCACTCTCCGTCACTGGGCCTTTCGGTACCCTCTCATACTAGAAATGTTTATGGCATATGGTTCTAACATGCTGCAACATGTGAATACAGGAGATTTTGTAGTGGAAAAGCCTACTTATCACTCGCACGTAGGCGTACATCCAATTGGGATTTGCCTACCTAGAATATCCATGAATATCCTAGAATATCCGTCGAGTCCCACAGGACGTGGAAGTAGAGGTGGACGAGTTTGAGCAATTTGGGCATCCAGTCTGGGAATGGCCTGACCCAAACAAAGGAAGAATCTCGGCTGGAGAAAGAGTTCAATAAAGGGTTGATCAGGTCTCAGCATGATGGTTGATCACCTGGCTCTGCTCTAACCTGATGTAACCTGATGGGCATAGGTCTGGGGCGTGTCGCGTGCTGGGTCGGGAGCTATCATTGGCATCATGAGCATCATGAGCTATCGTAGGTAAGACGGAAGGAGTTCCGTGAGGAGGTTTGACCTGCGCTTGGGTTCAACCGTCATGTCGCCGATGACTCGGATGGTTCGATAGTTCTGAACTCGGGACGGTGCCGGTTCTTCTGCCGTTGCGAACTCTGAAACCGTCGGGTTTTTCTGCTGGTCGTACGACCCCTCCGGTTCGCACTACTCGAAGCAAGATCAGGTGACTTTGCTTTAAACAATTTGAGATTTTACGACTGAATGAAACAGCCACGGCCTTTCCACCAACAAACATGGGAGTGGAAAACCTTGGAAAACCCTTGGCTTGTAGAGGATCCAAGCACCCACTGTTTGCTTCGTTTGTTGGATGGTATCCTGCAGATGCCGGCACTCGTTTCAAGCAATGTTTTCGCCCACCATATCCCACCACGGCAGTACTAGCAAGATGTTGGCGTGACCACCTGAGGGTGATGCCTTCGTCAAGTTGTGCCTACATGTTTGAGATGGTTGTGCCTACATGATGTCAAGCTAAGATATAGATATGGATTTGCTTCATTTCGACCTTCTTCCTCCAAGATGTTTAGGTGACGCCACTCCAAAAACGTTCCATTCGCAACTTGGCACAAGTATCGCTTGGTCGCTTCCTCGGGGTTTTGTGAGGCTTGCGGCGAGAGACTCGCTACTCCAAAGCTCTCCAAAAGAGTGGGGATTGCACCTAGGAGATAGATACTGGCTCGAGGATGTGCAGATGTGTTCAAAAAATGCTCCCCCCCCAAAGTGGCTGGCTTGAGCCTATGGCTAATCTCATGAAGAGGGAGAGCGAGAGACAGAGGGATGCCGTAGACTAAGTCGCACTGCGCTAGACTTTGTTGGTGGGCTGTCGGCAGCACGTCAGTCTTTCCGCCCCCGGGCACAGGGAATGTCCCGCGGGGCAGGAGTGGAAGCTAGGAATCACCAAGTGGGTTCGGGGAGTTCCCCAGTCGCCCGTGAGTTCGAGGTCAAAGACCGTGAGGAACTTCACCATCGTGGAACCTTTGGCCTCACGCAGCATGGCATGCTCAAATATGCTCAACATGTGGGCGTGGGTTGGTGGGTGGTCCAAGTGTGGAAGCTCCACGTGGGACGTCGTAAAAGCATGGGACGTCGGCCACAAATGGAGAACGTGGCAGCTCAAGACATTTAGCTGGGCTCACACATGTTCAAGCACTTGGGGCTATTTTGGGCTGGTATTCCAAGCAGATTCATTTCAGGTACACCTTCCCAAATGGCGTTCTAAAGGGGTTAGTGCTGGCCAACTCTTGCGATTAGATTGCGCCTATATCTCAACAAGCTCGCGAGAGGCTGAGCTGTTGCACATGCGAAGTGCTCAAACGAATTTGGATCCCGCAGGTCGGTAAATGCATGCAAGCATGGCAACGCCGCGGCGCTTAGTCATGTCATGCCATTGCAAGCTTGACCAAGGCCTGTGGAACAGGTAACCAGGTAGGAGATGATTTTGTAGTGGCATCAAACATGCAGACTTTTCATCATCCTTGAGCCACAGCGCCACTCAGAGTAGAGTCGTAGAGTCGTAGATGCCGTGGAGTCGTAGATGCCGTGGGACTCTCGAATTTTCTTCACCCTTACAGCGCACAGCATCACGTTACAACGTTGGGCTTGGTGTTTTGTGTGATTTTTTACTCCGCTCAGATCCCACCAGCATCCACCGTCCACCTTTCACTGCGGTCAAGACTCGACCGATTGACCGCTTTGCCCGCAGCGGGCGGCCCCGCTAGAGGTCACTACAACGTGGTGCCGGCCAAAGCTCTCATCGATGTTCTTCTGGCCAAGGAGGGGGGGACCCACAAGACACCAGACTCCAAGTGGTGCGCCCGTGTCACGGACGGCTACGACGCCGTACCCGGGTACGGCGCATCCCCGTGACGGCGACGGCGCATCGCTGTCCCAATGCCAAGGGGGTCCAGTGATCCGAGTTAAGTAGAACGAAGGAATGAAGCGAACGAAGCAACTGAAGGCGTTCTTCAATGGTCAGCATGCCACGTCACAACCAGGACCTTCCCAACCTTCCCAGTGACCTCTTCAGGATTTGTAAGTGGCCTTTTGAAAGAAGGTGACCTTATTCTGGGATCTTAAAAGGTCACTGGGAAGGCCTTGGAATGGATCAACCATGATCAACCAGGTTGTTTACCTTATCCAGTAACATCCAGGTTTCTGGATGTTTGCCCTTGAAAAGAGAGTTCACTCGATCGAGTGCTTCAACCTGTTTTACCTGTTTTGTATTGCCTGTGTTTGTGTGGTCAATCTGTGGGAAGATCTTTGGCTCGAAGCTTTTGCCTCTCTACCGCTCAGTCAAGGCGAGACATGCAGAGGTGGAAAAGTGGAGGGAGATGAAGTGGGGCACGGGTCCATGGGTACAAGACAAATGGATACAAATTGCCATTTCTGGCGGATGACTTCACAAATTATGGTTCAACCCTGGGTGTTGTTGTGTGTTGGGGTTGGTTCTGGTTGGCTCAACATAATGTCTCGGCTTGGTGTTTCTTCAAGGCCAGGCTTTGTTTTTCCGTGTAGACTTCATTGGTCAAGACCAGATTGAGATAAAGACTAAAGTTGCAAAGGCTTTGTGGTTTTCCTGATCCATCAAGCTCGTGCTATTCAAGTTCAACTGCGCTTTGGACAATTGTTACAGTAGTCGAACATCTAAACTAGGGTTCGGAACTTGGGGCAGTCATAGTGGCCATTTATCCTGAGCAGACAGTTTCTGGATAGCTGGTTCCTTTTGCAGTGGGATGTCCAAAGATGATTCATGGGTGTCTCCAGACCTCAAGTTGAGTCTCATTTCTTTCAGCAACAACGTTAGCATCAATTATAGACTTGGCGTTTGAATTCTTGGCTCTTACTTGGAGTTTGATCCGATACTGTGGTTCCCAAATACCCAAATTGTTCCCAATCCAGTTGTGTTATATATTGCTATCTCATTTGGGGTCAATAGAACTGTGTGAGCGTGATCCTGCAGTCGCCATGGTCCCCAACATGTCAGGAGATTTTGCTGGCATCTGACACGAATCGCTTGGTTCCTTGGTAAATTACTGACGACAACGGTTTGTGTTGAAGGTCGGCTGTTCATTTCTGGTCTTTGTTTTGTTCATATTTTCTTGGCCTAACATGTTGAATCATTTTGGCCGTAAACGAATAAGGCCCCTTTGCCAGGATGGTTTAACCTCGATACCGGAGGTTTCACAATGGTTTTGTGGATCAACCTGGATCAACAATCTAGACTCTAGACGTTGTCATGTCATCCGGATTTCGCCCCAGTTGTTCCGCCCGGGAAGCTGAACTAACTTCCATCGCCTGGCACCGCTGGGTGCACCGCCTTGCACCGCCGGTTGCGAGTGGAAAGATTAGTATCCAGGGTTGAGAATTTCGGATGCTGTCATCCTCCAGTTTTTTTCAGCATGAAGAGGTGGGTGCGTGTGAAAGGATAACACGCAGTCAACCAGTGGCTTCTGCTTTCGGGGGATCAAGCGGGAGGGAACCCCTTTCGGACCTGCAATCCAGTTCGCACCTGCGTGCACGGCGCTTTGGAGACGAGGTGGCGGAGCTGACTTTTGTGCGGATCAACGATTTGGCTGCCCCAGTGGAGAAGATGAGCTTCCTCATGTGAGCATGGATGATATTTGTGCATCTTTGTTACTGTTGGAGTTCCTACTTTCACTGTGCATCCCGTTTGCCTCCTCCTCCTCCTCCTCCTCCTCCTCCTCCTCCTCCTCCCTCACACCAACTCAACCCTCACATACCCTCACGAACCCTCACACACTCAGCTCTCCTAAAGGGATGGGAGGTTGTCCTTACGTGCCGTTGCAGCCGATTCACTCCCTCGCTCGCTGGCTCACTCACTGCAATGTTCACGATCTTACTTGACATTTTTGCCCATCATCCACATACACTCATTTGCGTCCATTCCTCCTTGCTTTTGCTGTTCCCTCCACTTGCAGGGGTTTGTGGCTGGTGTTCGTGCGTCTTTTCGTCGTGCCGTGGTTGTACATGGAGTTTACCCCCCCCCATCCACAATGCGGGAAAACGGAACGCAGCATGGAGTCAGTTAATTGTTACACCGTTTCAGTACGGGGGGGTGACCTTCACTGCTGGGTTACTGTGCTAAGGGGACACCATAGGATGCGTGTTGCAGTCTCGTAGGGGGTATACTGGTTGGAATCCCTCATTTTACCAGTAACCCTTTTGCTGATTGTGCTGCTCCTCCATCATCTGGGCTCTTAGAAATTAGTTGAAAACAGGGCATACCGATAGTCGCTAACAGCTGCGTCTTCCTGGATGAGTGAGAAGTAGTGTCCGGATATACTGTTCCCCTCACATGCTCATGCATCAAGAGATGCAGTATAACAACAAAAAAGGTCTACGAGATCAGCTCGATAAACACTAATCACGAAAGCTAGCATGCTAGCTGAGTTCTTCTTTGCTTTAGCAATGTTGTGGTGGGAGGGGCTGCGTGCCTTAAAGATTGATATATCAAGCTAACCCCCCCCCC